CTTCAACAAGGTGTTTATTTTAATCTTGCCTTTTTATTTTAATTTGACTCCCAATAAAATGTAAGTGATTTTTCTGATTACTGCATTTTTGTAATGGTGAGAATATGAAGTTACTTAATCTGTGTATGAAAAATCCTCCTCGTTTATGTCAAGACCAGTAAAGCTGACATTGGAGAGTAGTAGCAACAAAATAGAACCAACAGTCAATCAACACGTATGATATGTATAAAGTCAGACACTCTGATGTCGGTGGACTGCGTAGGGACTTGCTCAGCAAATGTAGGCGGCATAAATAAAACAAATACATAAATAAAGATTTAATCAAAGGTAGCTGTGGAGGCTTACCTTGGTGAGAAAAAGTTTACTGTTCAGCAAATTGGACAAAGAAATCAGCCCTTGCTCAACCGTCTGCCTACAACTTTCTGAAACATCCAGAGCTTGTCCCAGTTGGGACTCCTGGTGCCCCGGGAAGAAAATGCGCTCAGCATATGTGTGATAATCCAGGAAAGCAATCCCAGAGCCCAGCAAAGTATTGGACATGTCCATCATCTCTGTCATCAAGTCTAAAAAGAGGAATTAAGGTTTCGTCTTACTTTCACAAGATGTAAAAGTCCAATCCAACTTTATTTATAGAGCACTTTAAAAACAACATAGTTGACCAAAGTGCTTTCCAATAATAAAAAACAGAGATAACAGTTAAAAACCATACATTAAGCAGACAAAGAAAAATATCTAAATAACAATAAAATAAATGCATAAATGAAAAAAGAAGATAAAAAATAAATCAGTATATATCAAATACTAAAACATGAGAAAAATAGACATTAAAATATACAATGAATAAAATTAACAAAAAAAGATTAAGAGTGACCATCCACTGACTAAAACTGACTACAAGCTGACTCTGGTGCTACTCCTAAAAAGCCTTTGGAAAAAAAGGTGTTTTTAAAAGTGATTTGAACATTTCAAGTCTTGGGACCAGCCTAATATGGATGGACAGCTTATTCCATAATCTGGGGGCCACAACAGCGAAAGCTCGGTTCAGAAGAAAAAGAGGAAGTTACCTGTGAACTCCTTCTTACAGCGGTCTTAAACACTCGTCTCCAGGTTCTCCAGCTGGATCTGAACTTTCTGATAGTCCCTCATGGCCTGTTTGCTTTCTCCTGACCCACAAGCCATGATGAAGAGGCAATATTGAGATCAAAACCAATGATGCTCCGTGAATTGAACATGTTTACCTGTATATGAGCACTTTGATGAGAACACCAAAGAAAAATACACTGACACCTCTGATCTGCTTGAAAAGCTTAGGTTCATTTAAAAGAATTAAATTAAAACATCAATATACTGGCAACTGTACAAGGGGTAAAAAAAAGTCATCGTAAAAACATTCATGCTTAGGCAAACATTTAGAAGCAAATAATAGTTTCATAGGTTATAACTAGGCTTTATATAGGCTGAGGTTTGGTGTCAGAAGGTGTGGATGTACAAGAAGGTACAAACTGTCTCACAAACTGTCTTAATATGATGTATAACAGCCAGAAGAACACTTCTTTGTCTTATAACAACCCACATAATACAAAGTAACTACAAAGTAACTACAATCCACGCCCGCATGTGTGAGCATTACTTTTCTCGCCTGTTGCACAGGTGTATATTTAACAGTGTGTGTGTTGTTGTGGTTGTTGATGATTTCAAAGTCTTTCACAGCCTGCTGCTACTACTGCTTTGACTGGTACACAGTTCAAATGACAGCTCAAAAGGACCTGTTTACATTAGCATACCAACTATAACCCTGTTTATTCATGTTTATTCTTCTTTTTAAATCCGTGCGATTGTGATTTTAATTTTGATCTTGTCACTTTCATCAAACATTTTCATAAAAGTGTTATGAAGAGTTGTTCCATGTAGTATGACGGAAAACATTCCAACAATAGACCAACAAACTAAACAAACTCAACAGACTCGTTTTTGTTAGTAGTCTCTGACTTTGTGAGGCAGTACAGGCTGAGTCTTGGTCCCTCTGCCTTGAGAAGGATCCACTTTGACCCTGAAGGGTGTCATTGTTATAGTCTAAACGCAAACAGCCTTTGTCCTGATGGCAGAGGACAAAGGCTGTGTTAGCATGTTACCTTTGCAGGTAATGCTCTTCAGTCATTTTTAGCCTCAAACAGCAGGTGGGTTAAATACGTTTCCCTGTAATATCTGTTTATAAACATGTTTGGAATATTTCTTTGACATGATCATATTGTTTGCGCTCTTTACTCTCACACACACAGTTTTATGGAGCTTTACCTTGACCAGACTCTGAGCAGTCAACAGTGAAGTATGTTGTCTCGAAGGCTTTGAGGCCCGTCTTTGCCACTCCAGGGTCAGAGACCTTCACCTTGTTTGGATGACAGCCCGCTCCGATATTCAGCTCCGATATTCATCTGTGGGCACAAACACCAAAACTCAAGAGACTTCTGAGTGAGAAGAAAAGACAATCCTTGCATGCCAGAGTGAAAGTGAGAGCGTGTGTGAGTGCATACTCACCCTGAACGGACTCTCGGGGATGTGAACGTCTCCCCAGGAGACCATCACAGTGTGCTTCACAGGCTTACGTGGGGTGTAGGTGCAGGCGTATGTGCTGTTGCCATTATCCTTAACCTGGACATGCACAGAATTACCTTCACCATCCTGTGCAGAAGACAAGGGATTAGTTCAATCAGATTTAACACACCGTATTTTTTGGACCATAAGGCACACCGGATTATAAAATGCATTAAGCGAAACAAAACAGTCAGATAAGTCAAACTTTACTTAACTCTTTCTTCTTGCTTCTTCCTGTTAGGTTTTGTATTGTTGATTGTCATTTATGCTTAGAAATATCTACTTCTATAGGCTTAGAGTTTTATAATTAGTTGTAGATTGGTAGAGGTTTGATCCTTAATAGTCTGCAAACTTTGTGTGCATTCCAGAGCACTCTGGGAGCATG